CAGCTTAGCCCACACTGGAACCCTTAGGAGCTCCCCTGAGGCCTCACCAGTGGCTCTGACCACCCCCAACTATGTGAGGTAGGACTTTAAAGAAATCTAATGTGACTTTTTTGTATCTTCCAACTCAGACTTGCCTGACCAGTGCACCCCAAACCCTTGTGATAAGAAGGGTACTCAGCTCTGCCAAGACCTCATGGGCAACTTCTTCTGCCTATGCAAAGCTGGCTGGGAAGGCCGGCTCTGTAACAAAGGTGAGAGTCCACAGCCCCACCCTCTCCCTGTCCCACCCTCTGTCCCACACACTCTGCTCACACCCTGCTCCACCTACTCCTCACCCACGACCCATGACTGGGAGCTCAGCCATACTTCTAGTCTGTCCTGGGACAAGGCCCTGATGGACAACCTCAGCATCCCTCTCGGGAACCCTTTGCCCATCCAGGGTGGCATGCAGCAGCCCCAAGGCTCACTGAAGCTGCAGGCTCCTAGGGAGTTGAGGCAGCCAGAGAGCTGTTTTAGGACCAGGATTGAAAAGAAGGAAATGCCACATGGGTCTTAGCACCCCAGCTAAGGGGCCCCACCTTGGTTTACTCAGGTGAGGGTGAGGCATCAGGTAAAGCTGCAAACGAGATAGCAGACCCTGCCCAGCCCTTCACTCCGGGCAGCCTGGCTGCGTCCACAGATCATCTGGATAGTTCTGTTCAGGGTTCCAGACAAGGCTGTGTGTAGGTCTTGTGGCTGCTGAGCACTGATTGATTGGTGGGTCCATTTTGTCTCTTATCCCATCCCTTGTGCACCTAGAGACCTTCAGAACTGAGTCTGTGGCCATCCCCACCCACAGCAGTTCATATCTCTCTGGCTCTCATGCTGTCCACCTTACCTACCTGAGGCCAGCAGGGGAGTGTCCAGGTAGAAGCCCCCTCACTCTTTCTCCATGTCCAGATGTCAATGAGTGTGGCCAGAAGAACGGGGGCTGCAGCCAGGTCTGCCACAACAAGCCAGGAAGCTTCCAATGTGCCTGCCATAGCGGCTTCTCACTTGCCCCAGACGGCAGGAACTGCCAAGGTAAGTCCCTGGCTGAGCAACTGTGCCCCACCTACCTCCCTGTCCCGAGAAGGGAATGAGCATCCTTTGGAAATGGTCCAGCCCAGCATCATGGACATGAGTCCCCAGCTCTGAGAGCAAGGGCAAGGACTGCCCATCCACACTAGTGTGTCTAGGTACCTTCAGCCCACAGAGCCTGCAAGACAGCCTGTGTGGTGACAAGGCGTAGATCTCTGCAGCTGACTGCGGGGAACTTGGCAAGATGGCAGGCCACAGTACCTCTGTGCACCTGCCACACCTTCCAGACCCTCCCAGCGCAGACTCCCCCTTCCCTGCCCCCCACCAACACAGGAGCAGATGGGGCCTCCCCACTCTGTGGTCCCATTTCCACTCGGCCTGGAGCAGGGAGCCTGAGAACACCCAGACAATCATCTCAAAGTGCATGCTCCAGCTGTTCCCCTGAGCTGATTTAGGGTATAGAGGGATGGCGCTCAACCTCTGCTCCAATGCAGATGGACCAGAGTGTCCCTGAGGAACTGAGACTCACAAGGACTGGGGGACAACCACCTATGTGGATGGTCCAGATGGCTGCAGGGGGTGGGGTCAACTTGGGATCTGAGCGCAAATCTGATGAGACAAATGACTATTTCCCTCACCCATTTTTGGGGAAAAAAAAATTTATTCTCATCTACCTCAGAGTTCACCTCTGACAGTCACAAAGAATATTCTTAGAAGGTGTGATTGTACGGGAACAGTCCGTCACCGTGTCCTCGTACCTATGGGAAATGTGTGGGAAATGCATATGGGAATGTATAGGCCTCCCCTCCTGTGTCCTTATTCCAGGAACAGAGGCCCTCTCGTTGTGGCTCTTGTCCCTGGCCTTGACCAAGGGACACAGCCCCCACCCTTTAGTAGCAGGTTGAGGAGACCTGCCTTGCTTTGTGGATCCTGAGCAATGAAGCCTACAGTGTACCCAGTGTGGGGTGAGCAGCATGTGGCCCCTGGGCCCCCCATCGCTTGACACCCATGGTGAAGGCATCGTGCCTTCCCCGCTCCCATTCTCCACCCTCCTGTGTCGGGGCTGTTCTCGCCCTCTATCCCCAGTGGCCGCTGCAGCTGTCCCAGACCGACCTGTACAGCCTTGGCCTGGCTGGCTTTGCTTGCAGATGTAGACGAGTGCGCAGATGCAGACACCTGTGGGGATGCACGCTGCAAGAACCTGCCGGGCTCCTACTCCTGCCTCTGTGACAAGGGATACATGTACAGCTCCCAGGAGAAGATGTGCCAAGGTACCCATGCCGCAGCCACCCGGGCTACTTCCTTCTTTGACCCTTAGCCTAGGACACATGTTGGTCGCTGCCTGAACGTGGGCTGCATTGCTCTACAGCTGGCACCCATTGGTCCAACCTCCCAGGAAGTCATTGTATACACATGAAGGTTGGAAAAATGTCAGGACCTACAGGGGGTCTCTGTGTACCTTCATTGAGGATGACCCCTAAAGTCAGTCCTCTGTCTCATCCCTTTTTCCTGAACCCATTGTGTCCATACATGTGTGCTCACACAGAGTGCTCTCGTACATGTGCATGTGTTCCAGTGTGTGCCCAAATGAGGACACACCTGTGTTTACCCTTCCCCCGCCTTCAGAAGAGTCAGTGAAGATCCTGAATTCCTTGCTAGACTTTGGCTTCCTCCCAGCCCTCTGTGCCTTCAGTAGATGGGGAATGGTGTGCTTATTCCCTCACTGTGGAGGTTTACCGTGTCCTGAGAGCAGAGGCATACAAGAGACTCTGAGAGATAGCTAGGGGAGCCCTGGAGAAGAACTGAGCCCCAGGGAAGGGAACACGGAGCTAAGGGTTCAGAGGCTCCTGCCCTGCACCGTTCTCCACAACCCACACAGACATGCTCGGTCCCTCCAGCCCTGGGCCAGTCAGCCGGTCAGTCTGAGCACAGTCCTCAGACACCTTTAGCTCTTCACTTCTCTCTGGGAAGCAAGGACCTAAGAGACAGGCCTCTGAGGCGGCAGGCTGAGCAATGATGTCTACAGCGTGTCTCTGGGAAGGGTAAGTGGGGTTGCTCGGTGTTTGGAGCTTTCCCCACGCCTACCTTGAGTCCCTTTGCCGGCAGATGTGGACGAGTGTCAGCAGGGACGCTGCGAACAAACCTGTGTCAACTCCCCCGGCAGCTATACCTGCCACTGTGACGGGCGCGGGGGCCTAAAGCTGTCCCCAGACATGGATACTTGCGAGGTAGGTGACCCTAGTGTCCACTGGATGGCCTGGCGGAGCCCCGTGCTGTGCTTTGTGTGGGACCCTCTGCTACTAACTGGTTGACTGGAAACTCCCACTAGCTCTCAGGACCACACGGCTAGCCAAACCTCTGTTTGGTTGTGTTGATGAAATCTCCCTAGCAACTCTCCACTCTCAGCCACGTAGCCTGCTGGTGCAGACCCAAGGTGTGATGTGGTCACACCAGGGTGTACAGTGCACGCGCGCGCGCGCACACACACACACACACACACACACACACACACACACCCCATTCACTCAGGACTCTGTACCAAGCTAAATAAACTTTAGAGAAGTTGTGCGTTGATGGCATTTTCTGAAAAACAGCAGCAAGTGACCACGTACCATGATGACTTTGCAAGTCACAGGTCTAGGAAGCAGGATAAGCATTTTCCAGTTATGAGTCTGAAGCTCAAGTCATCTAAGTCCTTTTTTTTTTTAAAGAAATCTTTTTATTTATGTATACAGAAGAGGGCACCAGATCTCATTACAGATGGTTGTGAGCCACCATGTGGGTGCTGGGAATTGAACTCAGGACCTCTGGAAGAGCAGTCGGTGCTCTTAACTTCTGAGCCATCTCACCAGTCCAATCTAGTTCCTTTGTGAGGCTCCCGTTGCATGAGATGGTGTCCTCCTGAAGGGCCAGGGGACCAGCACTTGTGTGCCTTAGGCTTATGCTGGCCAGTGTGGCAGGGCAGGACCCTTCTGTCTCTCATCCCCACTGGAAGCCAGCTTAACCTGCTTTAATTCTACCCTCTCTCTGGTCAGTGGGAAAGCCTACAGCATAAATCAGTTTCTTGAACCATAGTCTTCAAAGCCTTTGGGTTCTGTTCATTTTGTTAATAGTATACTAATTTTTTATGAGTCTCTGTGCTCCTCTGTGAGTTGGAAGAATTTCATAATTTAAACACCACTAGCGAATAAGAACAGGTAAGAAAGAAGCAGGTGATAGAAGACTCCAGAACCCTGGGCCTCTGCCTGGGGGCACCAACATGGGATAGGTATTATGGACTCTGGGTTTTCCATGGGTGGGCTAGCCTTGGGATTCTGGAAGATCAGAGGATCTCCCCCATTGTGACCAGGGCCTCAAAGTTGTTTAAAAGGCAGCCACAGGGCACCTCCACTCCCCAACACCTTCCTATCTCATGGCAGGACATCTTACCGTGTGTGCCCTTCACCATGGCCAAGAGCGTGAAGTCCTTGTACCTGGGACGCATGTTCAGCGGCACCCCGGTGATCAGACTACGCTTTAAGAGGCTTCAACCCACCAGGTGAGAGCCAGGCACACAGGATGGCAGAACCCAGGTGAGAAGACTGAGCCAGGGCTCCTAATTTCTAGGAGCCCAAAGCCACTCAAGATCTCTGAGTGAACCAGCTCCCCATGTCCTGGAAAGTGTCCCAGGGGTCTTGGCCCTGGGACTAGGCGGCCCTGTACCACCTGCCCTCTGCCCCACTTCGTTTCTCGGGTCTGTTTACAGGCTGCTGGCTGAGTTTGACTTCCGAACTTTTGACCCTGAAGGAGTCCTCTTCTTCGCTGGCGGCCGTTCAGATAGCACGTGGATCGTCCTGGGGCTGCGGGCTGGGCGGCTTGAGCTGCAGCTGCGGTACAACGGTGTTGGGAGGATCACCAGCAGCGGGCCCATTATCAACCATGGCATGTGGCAGACGGTGAGTGGAAGGCTCAGGCTACCCCTAGCATTCAGCGCTGGATGTGGCCCGTGGGTAGGACACCTGCTCTAGTTAACCAGAGCTGCTGCTTCATTGGCTGAGTGTGGCTTACTCAGAAAGGGCTTCCTGTGACAGCCATGTGGGCATCGGCCCAGAAGGTACTAGAATAATTGCATGAGGATGCTCAAACATTGAAGGCCAACAGAGAAGATAGAGAACTAGCTCAGAACACCCAGGAACCTGAGCACCTGAGACCGGGATCTTCTGTTCATCTGATCAACGGGGGCGTCTTCTGCCCTCAGCTCCAGCTGCTTCCCCCCACTGGAGTTTGGGTGACAGACAGTGACCTCCTACTCAGGAGTCACTTCCTATACCCCAGGCAATAAAACAGGCTTGGGAATTAACGTTTGGAAGAAAAACAGAAAGACATGGTTTTTCCCTTTGCAGTGAAGACAAAATGAAAAATCCATGTTCTGCTTTGCAGACAGACATGGACCCCTGCCATCTCTCCAGCTACTGACTGCTGTCTGTCCTCCTTCCTGGCTTTGAGGGGTCAGAGTGTCTGTAGCAGAACAGGGGAGGGTCCAAGGAAAGAAGAAGCCTGGGGAGAGGGTGCCCTCTACACAGCCACGGGGACAAGCCTGGACTAGGACCCAGGCAGGACTGCTGGCTGGGAGCAGTGACTATGACTTGGTACTGTCTAGATGGCAACTCACATACCCTGAACTCATGGCTCAGTAAGAGAGCATCCCAGGAGGCGAAGTTCTGCCCCTCAGTGTTCCCTGCCCAGTCATTCATAACTCTGCTCTTCTGACAGATGCAGGAAGACACTAAGTGTGCCTCCACCTCAGCTAAAAAGGATACCGATGTTCTGGAAGGCAGGGAACCGTACCATATCTAATGTACATTCCTACACAGCTTCAAGGCGTTCCTATGTGCAACGTTTCTGAGGAATTTGCTTGATCATTCAACCTCGCTCCACCCTAGACAGTAAATTAACTGTTAGGAGTTTAGAAAATTTCGGAACATGTATGTTCTTCCAACTACAGCACCAGTATAGGGAGAGCCATGATAGAGACCGCTCACCGGCTGATGGGATACTTCAGGGCTGAGGATGAGCAAAGGAAGCAGGCATTAGGAGCTGGAGCACCTTGTGAGTAGCAGAGGGGTTGTATAGGTTGAAGAGCAAGAGTTTGCATGAGCCACAGAGGTGAGGTGGTTGTGGGGTCTTTTTTAGACTGCAGAGGCAGGAAGTTGAGTAGACACACCAATAGGAGACCTAGAGTGAACTGATGTTCGGGCCTAGGCTGCACTGAGGAAATATTGGGGTTTCTTCTGTAGAAACCTGGAAGCCAGTGAACGCATGTGAAGGAAGCAATGACTCTTCTCTCATAATAACTATCCCATCCCCCTTGGACCATTATGGGCACCTAGCCACAGTCAGCTGTGCTGGCCAGCTGGGCTGCCAGGCCCCCTGTCAGGCTAGGCTCAGTCCTGGATGTCAGACCGCCCGACGCTTCAGTAGTGAACGAGTTCATCACCCACTCAGTCCCTTCTCACACAAAGGAGATCACACCTTTAGTAAATGCATTTTTGTACGCCCAGCACAGCGTCTGCCACTGTGGTCACCTTGGGCATAGCTGAAAGTATGTCACCCAGTTCGGGGATGAAAGTCTTCCAGAGTTGGGTTCTGCTATAAGAGGTCATTTCATGGATCCCAGAGTCAGCTGTGGTACTGCTGCTGGGCAGAACCTCATCATCTGCATAACACTGGCTGAGGGTCATCCAGGAGCTGCATTTTCTGCTCCTGGTCCTCTAGAGCCTAGACAGCAGAAGACCCATTGCTATATCAGATGAGATCAGCCCAGGGTTTGCAGCACTAATGTAGGGCATACAAGCCTATGTCCAGCCCACGCTGATAACCCTCCTGCCCACAGTAATCGTACTTGCTGGGGTCAGAACTGAGAGACTGAACTTGTTTAACTGTGGAACTTTAGCTTGTTAACAAATCTATGCAGAAGCCAAGGTCATGGCACCCTTCACAGTACAGTCTGCGGTAGAGGACCTGGGGCCTGGGGCGCAGCTGTCGGCTCTACAGAGCTCCTCTGGGCTGTTAGATGACACTGTGTTTGTGTCACATGTGAGAAGAGTTCAAACATGGAGCTCAGGCTAGGCTTCAGTTTGGCTCTGAGCCAGCGTTTGGCTGGATTCGGATTCCACTTTGTAGCCTGGAGGTTCCTCACACAGACACGCGAGCCACTGAGGGCAGCACTCCATGCCAGTCCAATGCCCAGGGTCTCAGGCCTGAAGGACATCTGAGGATGAGCGAACAGATGTCATCTCACTGTACCCAAGACAACGTGCTGTGCTTGCCCTAGAGCAGGCACCATAGACGGGCAGGCTGCAGTTGCTCAAGAGGCCCGTGCCACATCAGACATGGCTCTCCAGTTCTTTTAAACCGGAATGAGCATCAGTAGGACCTTTCTGTGACTGTCTTCTAGAATACACTGGGTGGTGGTCTGTTTTGATTTCATTCCCAAATGTGGGAGAGGCTAGCCCTCTTCACATGAACCCTGACCTGTGAGCTCACAAGGGGAGCCACAGAAGTGACTCTGAGCAAGGAAGGGTGTGGGGAGAACCCACAGAGGTGAGAGTGAGCATGGGCTCTAACAAGGTTAGTGTCTCCTGGACACAGGTGATATGGGTGTGGTCTTGTGAGGTCAGACTCTTCCTGGACCAGATAAACTTGGGTGTTATTTCCCCTGAGGTCTGGTGTCCTTGGCCCAGGTGACATGGGCATGGTCTCATGGGTCAGGCTCCTAAACACAGGTGGCATAGCATGTCCCCACTGAGGTCAGGTGTCTCTGGCCCAGGTGACATGGGTATAGTCTCGTAGGTTGGGCCATTAGACACAAGTAATATGCCATGTCTACCCTGAGGTACGGTGCACTTGACCCAGGTGATGCGCTATGGGGGCCTTCCGGAAATGACCATCTACCTGCCTTCCCTGCCTGACCCCTTCAGATCTCTGTGGAGGAGCTGGAACGCAACCTTGTAATCAAGGTCAACAAAGATGCTGTGATGAAGATTGCCGTGGCTGGTGAGCTCTTCCAGCTGGAGAGAGGCCTGTATCACCTGAATCTCACCGTCGGTGGCATTCCCTTCAAGGAGCATGACCTCGTCCAGCCCGTAAGTCCAGCCCTGACCATGGAGGAGAATGCAGCAGGCTCAGGCTTGGCTGTGCCTCGAGGGGTTTGCCCTCTACTGAGCCCATCTCACAATTTGAGGGGCCCCAGCGGGCAGCCAGTCACTGTACATAGTAACTAGCCACTTCCGCTCATGATTCTCATTTAAGTGTTCCTCTGACTTGAGGACAAAAAAAAGTCTATTTTGCAGTAAAGATAAAACACCTCATTTTTTTTAACAAAAAGAAAAAACTTTTTGAACATGTCTCAAGAACATTTTGGGTTGTTAGCCATACCTAGATTTCCTGTGGGGGAAGTTCTAAATGGGAGGCTTTGGATCACTTTTCAAAGTCCTATTTTGTTCTGTCCTATGCCACACCTGGCCTTTGTACCTCATCTGTCTCTAGCCCAGTGGTCAGAACCCTTGTTTTGGGGATGGCAATATCCACCACAGATGGAAACCTGTTTGGTAGGTGATTGACCCAGTCACCACAATTCAGGAGAGTCCCAAGGGGATGATAATATCCAACACACCATTGCAGATCTTCAACACATAAGATGAGAGTGACCTGATTGAATTATATAACAGCTTGCACACAGTGCGTGGTCATGAGGGTGACCTGATTTGATTATATAACAGCCTTGCACACAGTGAGTGGTCATGAGGTGACCTGATTGGATTATATAACAGTCTTGCACACAGTGAGTGTGTGGTCATGAGGGTGACCTGATTGGATTATATAACAGCCTTGCACACAGGGTATGGTCATGAGGGTGACCTGATTTGATTAAATAACAGCCTTGCACACAGTGTATGGTCATGAGGGTGACCTGATTGGATTATATAACAGCCTTGCACACAGTGTGTGGTCATGAGGTGACCTGATTAGATTATATAACAGCCTTGCACACAGTGAGTGTGTGGTCATGAGGTGACCTGATTAGATTATATAACAGCCTTGCACACAGTGAGTGTGTGGTCATGAGGTGACCTGATTGGATTATATAACAGCCTTGGACACAGTATATGGCCATGAGGGTGACCTGATTGGATTATATAACAGCCTTGCACACAGTGAGTGTGTGGTCATGAGGTGACCTGATTGGATTATATAACAGCCTTGCACACAGTGAGTGTGTGGTCATGAGGTGACCTGATTGGATTATATAACAGCCTTGCACACAGTGAGTGTGTGGTCATGAGGGTGACCTGATTTGATTATATAACAGTCTGCACACAGTGTATGGGCAAGCTGGGACTGGCATCCCTGGCCTGGTTTTTCAGCTTTGCTTTGTAGGCTCAAGGTAGAGGAAAGTACAACACAGTAAAATGCCCTGACCTGTGCAGTCAGGGGTCAGGTACCTGTCCCTACACCCACAATGAGGAGACCCAGCAGACGGAGCAGGTGGCTGCCTGACTGACACATGTGCTCTCATCCTGCATGGATATAGGTGTCCTGAAATGTTTTGAAAAGTGAAGAGCTCTTTTGTGAAGGAAAAAAAAAATCTTCCTATATTGTTTTTACACTATAGATTTACACACACACAAGCCAGAGGGCCCTGCCAGCAGGTTCAATGGCGCCAGACTCGTGGTGACCTCTCCTGCTTGGGTCTGCCTGCCGTTATGGTTTCCTGGCTCAGGAAGCCACCAGGAGTTATGTGTCTTTCCAGATTAACCCTCGCCTGGACGGGTGCATGAGGAGCTGGAACTGGCTGAATGGGGAAGATAGCGCCATCCAGGAAACGGTAAAGGCAAACACCAAAATGCAGTGCTTCTCTGTGACCGAGAGGGGCTCCTTCTTCCCTGGGGGTGCATTCGCCTTCTACAGCCTCAACTACAGTAAGTGGGTGTCGCCCTACCTGGGGTAGGACCGTGTGGTGGGACTTCCAGGCAGCGATATGCTAAAGGGTGGGCATCCATCCATCTAAATGGTTCCTACCTCAGTGACAAGCTGGCTCCCCACAAGCTGGGGCAGGGCTCAGCTCCCAGGACAACTCACTGGACGTCACATAGAGTTAGCCATGGAGGAGGAAGTGATGGAGACATGGTCCAATGGCCAGAAAGTGGTAGAATGGGCAGGCCTGTGTAGGGAGGGGGCTACCTGGAAGAAAATCTGGACGGTTGGACATGTCCGAACGCACGTGACAATTCTCAGAAGCGTGCCCGGCCTTCACTGGCCAGTGACTTCATGAGGCTTAGCAATCAGAGGCAATGGAAAGGTGGAAGGAACATGAAGTCAGGAAGGCCAGTCTGTGTCACCCTTGGAAGGGGCTCTGCAGCAGGATGGGGCCTGGCAAAAGTGTCTTCTGCTGTGCTTCTCAAAAAACAGGATCGGGGAGGGAGGATGCATGAGATCTGCCTCTCTTTGATGCGTGGACAGGCCAGTGCTGGAACCGAGAGCCACCCGTCCCCAGGGGATGACCCGGGGGCAGAAGGGTGGACACTCAGGTCTTTGGCTCCTTTAAAGCAGAACCCGTAATTTCTTTGGGGGTCATTTTGGGGCCCTTCAACCTCAAGTTCTGAGAAAAAGTAAGGACATCTGAGAGTCACCATGCTGAGGAAACTTAGCACACAGGCAAGGTCTGGTGTCTTGGCTGAGAACCTGCCAGCTAAGGTACATTGACCTCTTCAGTCACGACAAAGTGTTTTTTATTATCTTTTGCAATTTATATTCATATACTCAATGAACTATTGAGAATTCACCCCTATAGATGTCATGTAGGAGAGGGCAGAGGACTTGATTTGATAGATGGTAGGGAGCGGAGAATACGCCAGCTCCAGAGCCTCCCACACACCATAGAGAGCAGTGAGGCTGACCAAGTGTGTGCCAACCTTGATTCACTCACAGCAGCTCTCTCTAGTCTATGGCATTCTTCAGTCCGTGAAGGGCTTCCCCATGGTGGGGAGTACAAGCTGTTTGCCCTGGAAGAAACAGAATCCACCTGTCCGCTTCAGTGTATAACCTTAGATACAGATGACATGAAGTGTCGCCTAGCTGTGTCTTAGACACAAGGCCCCCATGTGCATGGTGTGAGAATGAGTTCATGACATAAGGCTCTGGAATGCCAAGCCATGCCACCCAGAGCACAGACACACATAGGGCTTGCTGGAGCGATGCGTCTCACAACATCTGTTCATGGGCATGGCCTCGTAAGTGCCTGCCACCATGCATGCTTCAGTGTCTTCTGGAGCTACGGCAGATGCTTCGTGAACTCTGCAGGGGGAGATGTGAAAGCAGGGCAGTGGATGGCCGTTGGCGCTGGCCTTGTGGCTCCCCGGATCGGTCTTTGTTACCTGGAAGGCACTTGGAAGAGGGGAGCAGCCATCCCCTGTGTCTAGTGTCGATGGTCTACACTCAGGGGTGGAGGTTGTCTCACTCTCTTCCTGCATGCTGGCTGTTGAGACACTGGCAGGTCTTGGAGGTCCGGTCTTGGTGCATACTTCCTTCCTCGCTGGCCTTTTCACCAGGAGGGCCCCTCCCGGGGTGTGCAGAGCTGTCCCTTGGGGCACTCCAGTCTGAGTTGCTACCGTCGCCTCTCTGCCCCTTGTATGGCCTTGTAATGTGCCGCTTTCATTGCAGCCCGGACATCGCTGGATGTCGGCACGGAGACCACCTGGGAAGTAGAGATTGTGGCCCGGATTCGCCCTGCCACTGACACGGGGGTGCTGCTAGCACTGGTGGGTGACAACCACGTCGTCCCCCTCTCTGTGGCCCTGGTCGACTACCACTCTACAAAGAAGCTCAAGAAACAGGTAGAATTGAATGGCGCACAGAAGCAGCTAGAATATGGGGCCGGCCTTGACTAGGCTACCCAGAGGTCCGAGCAACCCCCGTTTGACCCCCACCCTTCCCCTTCAAGGAAAAGTCCTGAGGCTCTGCCCACTCTCTGGGCTATTGACTTGAACAACCTTTCCCTGCCCTGGAGGTTACTTCCCAGACCCAGATCTCTCCCCAGGTCTGAGTACACAGAGCAAGGTGGCGCTCTCCGGCTTTGGGGCCAAGGCTGCAGTACCATCACACAGGCAGGACTGGGAAGCCACATCACTGCTGGCCAAGGGGGCGGGTGGTGCAGCCAGGGTCTGACTCCTTCATCTGAGCTACTGCTGGGCCATGGTGCAGGGTGTCCCA